GCGTCCAAGCCCAAGGGCTACGCCGTGAGCCTGCACTACTCTGCGCTCAGCTCGCTGGCGCGTGCCTGCCCCGAAGGCGCGCTCAGCCGTGTGGGCAGCATGTTCCGCTCCAAGCGCAAGAAGCTACACATCACCAGCGAGGACCCTACGTACACTGTGCTCTACCTGGGCAACGCCACCACCATCCAGGCGCGCGGCGACGGCTGCACCGACCTGGCAGTGGGCAAGATCTGGAGCAAGAGCGAGGCGGGCCGCCAGGGCACGAAGATGAAGCTGACGGTGAGCGCTCAAGGGATTCGCATGGTGCACGCGGAGGAGCGCGCGCTCCGCCGCCCGGGCCACCTCTACCTGCTGCACCGCGTCACCTACTGCGTGGCTGACGCGCGGCTGCCCAAGGTCTTCGCCTGGGTGTACCGGCACGAGCTGAAGCACAAGGCGGTGATGCTGCGCTGCCACGCTGTGCTAGTGTCCAAGCCGGAGAAGGCGCAGGCCATGGCCCTGCTGCTGTACCAGACGTCGGCCAACGCGCTGGCGGAGTTTAAGCGCCTCAAGCGGCGGGACGACGCGCGCCACCAGCAGCAGGAGCTGGTGGGGGCGCACACGATTCCCCTGGTGCCACTGCGCAAGCTGCTGCTGCACGGACCCTGCTGCTACAAGCCGCCGGTGGAGCGCAGCCGCAGCGCACCCAAGCTGGGCTCCATCACTGAGGACCTGCTCGGGGAGCAGCAGGAGCAGGAGGACGGGGAGGAGGAGCCCCTGGAGGCCTGCCTGGAGGAGGAGGACGAAGAGGAGGACGATGCGGGGGACCGCACGTCGCAGCTGGACCCAGACCAGGAGGGGTCCGAGGGGCCGGGCGCGCTGGTGGCAGCCATGCGCGCGGAGTGCGGCGACTTGTTGGACACGGTGCAGAATGGCCGCGAGGAGGCGCTGGGCGCCGGGGCCGGGACGTCGATTCCACTGCCGGGGGAGGGTGCCTCCTCCGACCTGAAGGCCCAGCTGTCGCAGCTGATTAGCGACCTGGGCGAACTCAGCTTCGGCAACGACGTGCGCGCCCTGCAGGCGGACTTGCGTGTGACGCGCCTGCTGTCGGGCGAGAGCACGGGCAGCGAGAGCTCCATCGAGGGCGGGGGCCCCGACGCCCCCTCTGCCACCGCCGAGAGCCCGGTTGGCTCTACCGACGGCGGTGCCAGCCCCAGCCCCGACGCGCCCCTCTCGGACTGAGCACTTGGCATGGACTATGCTGTGCGCCCCTGGTACCCGACAGCGACTCCCCAAACGTGGTCACAGCAACCTCCCTCTCCCCTTCCCGCCCAAGGAAAGGGGAAACGGGGCGCCCCGCCCTCGAGGGCGCCTAGGGCTGGGGTTCCAGTGGCTGCTTCCTTCCCGACCTGGGGCGCCCCAACACTTCTGGCTGCTCCGTTTGAGGTGGCTCAGGTTGCTCTTCGGCATGTGGGGAAATGCAAGAGGAAAACTCCAAAGGAGAGGGAAACCCTCTGGGGTGGGGGTGAGGAGAGTCCTCCGAGCAACTGGGAAAGTCCGGCCGGCAGCCAGCTTCCTGTTTGTGAGGCAGCTGGGCCAGCGGGGAGGTTTAACTTCCTGCGACCCCCTCCCTGGGAGCCATCTTGCGCTGTCATTGATGTGTCCTTTAAAAAAAAATCGCTGTCACAACATCAAGGCTTTAATCCCATCCCGAATCCCCAGTTCTTTTTGGTGCAAGAGCTTGGGCTGTTTACCTCCGACTCAAGACTCTTGAAAAAATTGCCAAATTCCTCAGATAATTGTTTGGCGGTGGGTTATGAAAGAAAGTTGCATTTTGTTTACAGTTAGACATCTAATATCTTCAAAAAAGGAGTTTTCATTTAGAAACACACACCTTCCTCCTTCCCCAAAGACCTCACTCCGTGATGCTGTGTAAAATATTTTTGCACTGTTATGAAGTATTTTCGACTTTTTTGGTGTACATAACTGTGTTCTCAGAGCTGAATGTTTATATCTCTTTTGCTGTGCAAAAGAAACATGTAAAATGTTGTTCAGTTGTATATATGGAAATGTGGATAAAACATTTTGTTATTTTTTGAGTAGCGGGGTTCTGGTTCTCTTGCACGCCGTGGGGGCCACAATAAAGAGGAGACTGTCACACGGCAGGTGAGTGTCTGCAGCTGCCGCCTGGGGCGTGGTGCTGAGGTGGCTGAGGGGCCAGTGTGTCTCGCCCCAGGTCCCGCTCAGCTCTGCGCACTGTCTGGGACCTGCCCCTCAGGGTATTCCATGCTCCTCACTTTGTGTGTGTGGAAATGTTCTCTGGTCTTGGATTTAATTTAAAAAATTTAATTTTGGGGAAGGCCAGAAGGAGTTGTTTCCCACCCTCAGACCTGTGCTTATGGCAGAAGGACTTCTGAGTCTGTCGAGGTTTTGTGTGTCATCCTTGTGGTCAAGGAGGAAGCTGCAACATCGTGTTTTCCTCTCTGAACAGCCAGGCAGCCTTAGAAAGGGACTGGAGAGTAGAGGAAGTCCTCTCTGAGGAGCAGGGCCGTCTCTGCTTCTCCGGGAAGGAATAGCAAGCCCGGGGAAGTTGTGAGTTCCAGTTCTGCGTGCAGGAGTCATGGTGTCACCGTGCAGGCGCGCCGGGGTGGACAGGTATAGAGAACAGGGTGGAGAGGAGCCCTGGGAGCTCGGTCGGGTGTGCGTGTTGCTGTAGCGTTTTCATGCTTCCTGCCTGTTTGTTTCTGCTGTAAACTCCAAACAGATGTCTGGAGTTGGGCTCCACCCCGTCAGTTTGAAGCTGCCAAAACTGTGTCTCTGCAAATTCTTCTTCCCTTTGCCCCTTCTGGCCTCCTTCCCCATGTCGCAGACGTGGAGCTCACTCCCGTCTCCTCAGGCCACTGTTATCTTTTTATCACAAGCTTGTTCAGAGCAGCCGGACCCAGAGACCCCGAGGAATCTGGAATTTTCTGGAACAGAGCAACAGAGGGTGGAAGAACTTCTTCCTCATTAGTGGGAGTGGCTGAGGGCTAAAACTCTTAAAAAGAAAAGGTAATAAGTGGGTGGGAAATAGTTTTAAACATATTTGATGTCCACCTAAGGACGTTAGGGCCTGTGACTCTATTATATTTGCATTTGCTAGAGTCCCTGTTCTCTGTGAACACTCAGATGCACACACTGATGTTTTAAAGTAGCTAGGTTAGTCAGGTTGGTGATGCATGCATGCCAATAATTGTAGCACTCCAGAGGCTGAGGCAGGAGGATCTCTGAGTTCGAGGCCAGCCTGGGCTACATAGTGAGTTCAAGGCCAGCCTGAACTGTGTAACAACACTTTGTCTCCCAAAACAAAAGGAAAAAAGGCCAGATGGCATTCAGGAAAGTCAAATCGCAGCCCACCTGTCCAGCCATGTAGATGCCCTTCCCTAGCACTGGGGCTACTTGGTCAGCAAACAGCTGGGTGTCATCCTGTGTGACAAAACTGCAGATTTCTATTAGTTCTGCACCTTGGCAAGTTCCTCTGCTATTCCAAAGTGACATAAAACAGCGCAGGGAATTTGGCTGACACTCGGGAGAGGTCGCCTTCCTTTATGCTGGGAGCCTTAAAGATCGATGACATTCAAACCAACACCATCAGCAGCTGGGGCCCCACTCATTCTGTCTGGTTTCCTCTTACCTGATTTATAAATAGGGAAAAGGGGGCTGTGAGGAGGGGGAGGAGAAAAGCAGATTGGAGGAGCAGCTCCCCTCCTCCCAGCCCCCAGTGCCCTCTCCTCAGTCGCTTTCCTTGCTGCTTTTGGTGCCTGTCCCCGCCGCCGCAGCCCAGGGCTCTGGCCTGATGTAATTCTAGAAGGGAGGCGAAGGTGATACACGATTCACCTCGTTACATCTCGGCCTTCAGGGATGATATCACTCCAGTAAGAGGAGATGTTTCAAATGAAAAAAAAAAAATCCACCTTGCTCCTGGCACTCCTGGGGCGGAGAGCGGTGTGACAGAAACACAGCTAAGTAGGTGAAGCGCACATTCCCGAAATCACCCGAGTGCATCGCTCGTCCAGTTTAGCTCTTCCTTCTCGCAACGTGAGGCTCCGTTTCTCCTTTACGTAACCCGATGGTGCATTCTCTCGCGGCCGGGGCGAGCCTCCCTCCGGGTCCAGCAGAGTGGCGCTGATGGGGCGAAGTGCCCAGGGACTTCCGGCAACAGAACGTGGCCACGAGCGCCCACAAGCAGCATCCGTCTCCTTCTGTCAGTGCGAGCACAGCCCGCTGCAGCCCCCTTCCTCACACACAGAAGCTGCTGAGAGAAAACGGGCCTCTCCCTGCTCCACATTCTGTGGCACCGCAGATTTCAAACACATCAGATTGGAAACAGTTCCTTCCCCGGGGACAGAGCTGTCTGATGGCCCTGCTGGGTGACCGGCCTGGGAGAATCTACCCCCGGCGCCACGCTGGAGATTGAAAAATGTCGCGGGAGCCGGCCGGGAACACCAGAAGGAACAACTGTACAGGACAGAGCTGCCCTCTCTTCCAATAGGGTTTAGTAATTTCATAGGCGCACCTGGCCCCCTGCTGTGTTGGGCATCGCTCAGCTGGCGTTGGCTGGGAAGGGCGGTGTGACAGGACCAAGCCGTGTGTGGATCACAGAGGCAGGGGCCATGGCAGACACGGCAAGTGTTCAGGGCCCTGGGAAGGCAGGAGGCTGCCGGGCCTGGGTGCGCCGTGATGTCTGTGCATAGCTTTCTGCATGCAGCCACCTCTGGGTCTGGCCTGCTTGTTAGCTAGAGCCAGTTTTGATCCCTGGGACCACATTGGATTTTTGCTTTTTTGAGACAGGGTCTCGCTGTGAAGTCTGAGCTGGCCTCGAACTCATGGTGACCCTCCTGCCTCAGCCTCCTGGGTGAAGTAATTACACACAAGCTGCTTCTTTGTGAGTGCTGAGGATAGACCATGGGTCCCGCAGCATGCTGGAGAAGCACTCTGTCGCTGAGCTGCACCCGGGCTTGGTCCTTGTTCCCGACTCCCACAGAGGTAGCCCTTTTGCCAGCCTCCCTTTCTGTCCCACCCTCTCATCGCATCACTTCCTGTTAACACTCCTCCCCTCTGGCTTCTCCAGGTGCTCTGCTCCCCTCCCTACCTGGTCCTACTTCATTCCTCCTTTCCACAAACATTGCTCAGACATTAAATCATCTAAAAGTGAAGAAAGCCCACTTTTTAAATTCTTAAAATTATTTTATGGCGGTGCCGGGGAGCGAACCCAGAGTCTCGTCTATGCTGGGCATCTGCTATCCACTGAGCTTCGTCCCTAACCCCGGAGAGCCCGAATGTCAAGGGGAAAACAAGCCAAGGCAGGTGCCAGCCAGCACCACTCCTGCAACGCCAGGGCACACATGGCCTGCCAGACACTTAGAGATGGAGAAACTGAGTCACAAGGCTGATGTCCGGCTCAAGGTCACTCAGGAGGGACAGAATCCAGGCATTCAGATTCCCAGCCTCTGGCTTCACAAGCCTCTGGTTTTCAGGGCTTAACAACTAGACTTTTAGCTTTAGAGTAGCAGGAAGCGGCAGCTGAATGATCCTTTATTTGCCCTGTTCTTTGTATCACCACACTTCCTACCCGGTAGATCCTGGTGGTGTTTATGACTCTGTTCCTCAGCACCCACCTCCCCATGACGGCTGAGGATGAGCAAGGTGCCTGGCGCTGGCGGGAGAGAGCAGATGTCCGGCTGCCTGCTGCTAGGGGAGGGGCAGTGCCCTCCCTCCCCTCGGTCTCGTGAGATATAGTGTGGCGAGAGCCCGTCCTCGAAGAGCAGGTCGTTCTGGGATGGGGACCTCCTTCCATTGCACCATGGTGATTAATCATCTGTATCCTTCCTGCTTGGCTGAATTCTCCAGTGATAAGTGTGTCTCAGGCATCTCTGATTCACCCCTCTTAGCACAGCACCTGACACCTAGTGGGTACCCAGAAAATGCTCAGGGAGTCATGGAGAAGCAATCCCGCTCCAGGTCAGAACAAGTCTGGTACACTTTAAGGTCATCACCCAGCCAGAGGAACCAAGGTTTTCAAGATGTATGTTTCTCGAGGAGGCAAGCTTGGGATCTGTTCAACCTCAGAGCTTTACCTGAGGTAGCTTCAGTTCCCAAGATTTTCCTTAGAACTTCCCGGACCTAGGGGAACAGATGTCAGGTCCCTGGTATAGGAAGAGGTGATTTAAATTTAGAGCAAGTGCGAGTTTTGTTTTTTTGGACAGGGTTTTACTGTGTAGTTTGGAATGGCCTTAAACTCACTATCTGGCCTCGAATTCGCAGCGATCTTCCTGCCTCAGCCTCCCAATTGCTGGGATTACTGACATGGGCCACTATGCCCGGCTACAGCAGGATTTGTTTTGTTTTTGTTTTGCAATTGGCTTTGTATGGAACTGAAGTCTTATTTCTGTTCATTCTAGCCCCAAGGTCATTGCCCAAATCCTTTCAACTTGTGCCAGATGAAGACTCAAACCATATAGCACAACAGAAAGTCTATGCGCAAGAGACTTGGGCCCAGGCCCTACCATGACCTGAACTCCTGAGTGTGGGATGCAGCCTCTGCTTCCCTCCCTGCCCAGGGTCCTCCAGGCAAGATGGTGGCGTGGGGTAGATGTCATCAACTCTAGTGAGCATGAGTTCGAGCCCTGAGTGTTTCTGTCTTGCCCATCCCTTAGTGAGGTGCTTCTGACTACTGACCGTGGGCTGGGAAGCGTCCTGAGCTCAGGGACCTACGCTTCCTGAACCCTCAAAGGCCTGGCTTGGGAGCGACATTCCCTTGGACACAGCAGGGATTCTTTTCACTTGAGGCCATGCTGGTCCTTTAACGAGCACTGTCATTGAACGATGGGCCACTCTAGGGCCCAGAGAGCTGAAAAAACTTGTCAAAGGTCATCCAGCAAGTTGGGACCAGGACCTGAGTCTCCTGACTCCAGGTCCTACACATTTTTCCCTGCATCCTTTGCGATGGGTGTACATTAGTTTGCACTCCAAGCCCCTCTTCGTCGTCTCAAGACCCCGAGAGCAGACAGAACCACAGGGTCCCTCAGCTCCAGCCCCTCATCTTCCAGATCAGGAAGCTGAGCTCAGAAAAGGGAAGGGATCTGTCAAGGAGCCAGAGGGAGAGCTCAAGCCTCTGTTTCCCTCAGGGTCTTTCAGAAGCCTCAGCAGT